GCCCTGTAGCAGCTGCTGTGAGCTCTGTGGGCTGATTTTCCTTGCCTTTACTCCCTAGCACGTGACAATCCTGGAGTGCACGTGCCACATCGTGTCCTACCTGGCCGATGTCACCAACGCCCTGAGCCAGAGCGGCGGGCAGGGCCCCAGCCACCTGTCTGTGGACGGCGAGGAGCGCGCCATCGAGGTGGACTCGGACTGGGTGGAGGAGCTGGCCGTGGAGGAGGAGGACTCCCAGGCTGAGGACTCGGTAGGCAGCAGGCACAGGGGGTGTGCAGAGGACAGGAGGGCTTGGTTGGCACCTCCCAAATCACCGTGATTATCAGCTGAGAGTTTGTGTTCACTGAGCCAAGGACCCAGCGTGGCAGGTCTGGAGGAGAGAGAGGATCTGTCCTCCCTGACTAGATGTGTTGGCTTCGGGATGTCAACAAAAATTTAATATTTATTTTATAAATACTATGCATTTTATTTTATTAATATATTATTTAGTATATATAATGAACATATATATTTGAATAATTTATATTATTATATTAGATTAATAAATTAATATAACTATTATAGATTATAAGAAAATATATATAATTATATATTAATATATATAGTATAATAAAAATTAATATATTATATTATAATTTATATATTATATTATATAGTATACAAATTATAATATAATATATAAATTATAATATTATATATGAATTATAATATAATATAAAAATATAATATATTGTGTAATATAGTATAATATACTATACTATAATATAATATAATATAATATGATATATGATATAATATATATTATAATATAATATGATACAATGTATAATAATATATATAAACCACATATATTTATAAATATTATCTATTTATTTTCAAGAATATTCATAAATTTTATTTATTTAAATAATATTCATAAATATTATTTATTTAATTTTTAATTAAATGGAAGAAATTTAATAAAATGGGTTTGTTCCTACTGGTTGGCTGGCAGTTACTAGTTTTTCTATCAGCGAGCAGCTTTGATTAGTACTTTAAGTGCTGTTGGCTGGGGAAAAATAGCTGTTAGGATATGTTTTGTGGTTTTTTTTTAATCAATATTTCTATTACTGTTTCTTTTTCTTTTTAACCATTTCACATTACTACAATGTGTCTCCTCTCTCCATGTGGTTTGATACCAGCTGCTTTCTAGCTCTGTTGCTAAAATTTGCTGTTAAAATGTACCTTTGGTTTCCTGGGAATTTATTCTGTACATGTACTTCACTGTAGCTGCCGTTATGACACCTTCCTAAAACAGTTTTCTTCTGGATAGGATGAAGATTCTCTCTGTAACAAACTGTGTACCTTCACCATCACACAGAAAGAATTCATGAATCAACACTGGTAAGAATCTCAAGCTTGTGTTGAGAGTTTCAGCCTGGTATTTGTGGCCATTGGGAGGGAAAGCAGTGTAGTTTGTGAGCCTCAGGGCACTGCCTGTCAAAACTCACCTGGCTTATTTTGGGCAGGTACCACTGTCACACTTGCAAGATGGTTGATGGGGTTGGTGTTTGCACAGTTTGTGCTAAAGTTTGTCACAAGGATCATGAGATTTCTTACGCCAAGTACGGATCCTTCTTCTGTGACTGTGGAGCCAAGGAGGATGGCAGCTGCCTGGTAAATTCTTTATGTCTTCAGATTTTCAAGTCCTTTTCCATTCTGCAGTAAGTTATGTCAGGATTTATGTATGCAGGAGTGTTAAGACTTGAAGGCTTTGACTTTATGATGAACCCTCAGAATTTACAGCTTGCCTGGAAATTAATTTTTTTTGCACCAAATAAGAGCATTGGTAAATCTGTGTCCTAGTGACTCCTGGGATTCCACCTGCCTTTACAGAATTTGCTGCACAGCAAAGAACACATTTTCCCGTGTTTTCTACTAGCAGCAAATGAAATAATTATATCTTAAATATGGAAAGTTTTTAATCCTTGGGTGGAGAGTCACATGCAGGATGTTATTTCTTTAGAACTGTGCTCGAATTGCTGCTCTTACAATCTGTGTTCACTTCATCAGTAGCCAGGTTGAGCCTGGTTTGGGATTTTAGTGCTCCTGTGTCATTCCCAGGCGCTGGTGAAGAGAACTCCCAGCAGTGGGATGAGCTCCACCATGAAGGAATCAGCGTTCCAGAGCGAGCCCCGCGTGCCCGAGAGCGTCATCCGGCACGCGAGCACGTCCCCAGCTGAGAAGGCCAAGGTCACCATCAGCGAGGGCAAGGGCCCTGATGAGGAGAAGCCCAAGAAGAGCAGCCTGTGCAGAAACGTGGAGGGCTGTCGAGAGGAGCTGCAGTCCCAGGTATAATTGTCAGCTGCTAAACAGGGATGGGTTATCATGAGGATCTGGGACAGGCTGGGTTGGCTGTGAGCTGAGATGAGAGGGTCACAAAGGGGTGTCAGGCTTTAAAAAGCAGTTTATGTGCAGCTCCCATCAGGAGCATCTTGTTCCTCATTTGTCTGATCTGTTTCTTGTAGGCCAACTTCTCCTTTGCACCTTTGGTGCTGGAGATGCTGAATTTCCTGATGGATGCCATCCAGGTGAACTTCCAGCAGGCTTCAGCCATGGGGAGCAGCAGCCGTGCCCAGCAGGCTCTCAGCGAGCTCCACACCTTGGACAAATCAGTAGAAATGACGGATCAGCTGATGGTATGAACAAAAGGAATTAACAGAGTGTGGATGGGGGGAGTGGCTTTGGAACAGACACACTGCAGTGACACCCTGTGGATGCTTTCCCTGGCTCAGGTCCCCACGCTGGGCTCGCAGGAAGGCGCCTTTGAGAACGTGCGCATGAACTACAGCGGGGACCAGGGCCAGACCATCCGGCAGCTGATCAGCGCGCACG